TCTGGGAAGGAAGATCCATGGTATGAGAGCATCACAAAAACAATAATTTTCTTCCCCTCCCTTGCTTATTATTTCCATCACCGTTTTATTACCGCTAATAATATATATATATATATATATATATATATATATATATATATATATATAATGAAGCAAAGCTTACTTATCACTTACTGCTTTTTAGAAATTGAACAACAAATTTAAAAGGGAACTGCAAATTAGCAATACTGAAATATCAGCATTACAAATGAATTGTAACAAATTAAAAAGTAAACTAGAAAGTGATAACAAGGAAAAAACAAAACTAAAGTAAGTATTGTGAAAGCTGTCCAATCTCATTCACAAAGTTTTTTGCTAACAGAGTTTGAATTGAATTGATTATAGCACTACAGATTATGATTTTATATATGTTCCAGATACTAGAGCAATATTTCAATTCTCATAAAACAAAACGAATAGCATGTTTTTGAATCATTACCAATAAAAATAAATATTCAGTTAATTAGATAGTTATTTTATAATTTTAATTTAGACGGGACTGTGATAAATTACGCATATCTTGTAATTCAATAGAGGAAAAGTCTAAAAAAGATTCCCAGCACATGAAAGCACAAATGGACATACTAAAACATAAATTCAGGGACAGTGCGGTAAGCTATCATGCTAATTAAGCATTTATTTTATGATCACAATTACATTACAAATATTTTTTGCAGGAATCTATGTATCAAGTGATAATCAAGTTATAAGAGAACTGAGAGAGAATGAAAAGAAGGTAATGAAGGAAAATAGTATTTTGGCCGAAAATAATGAACTATTAATGAATGAGATTTTAAGAATGAAGGAAGAGTTGATCTCTCTAAAGCAGGAGAATATTGACTTGAAATGTAAAGCTGGCACTTAGCTAAATTTAGTTAAAAATAATCAACTATTATTGAATAAGATTTTATATGTGAAGGAAAAGTTTATCTCGGTAAAGCAGAAGGATATTGACTTAACAAGTGTGATGAACATATTTATTATAAAGATATTTAGATAGTTCCTTTCATTAATAATTAAGTTACTGATGTGATTAAATATTTTAATTTGTACCATAAGGGTTTTGTGATTAATAATTAAACTTAAATTAAATTACAATTGTATTAATATATTTAAAGCAAAAATGAATATGCATGATTTTAAAAGGGAGAAACTAGATATAATAAAGTAAAATGAAATATGATTTTCAAAAAAAATTTAATATATTTGAGGATGTGAAATCTGTGGCTGAAAATGGTTTTCTGTGCAAATGTAACTGCAATAACTTGAATATTTAGTAATTGTTTTTATAACCAATTTGTGTACCTTTTTAAGTATACATATTAATAAACAATATGCGCAAACTTTAATGATTTTTTTTTGTATAATATGTGATCTACAATATATGTTATATTATTCATTTATGCCTATTTCAGGGGACCACATTACTCTCATATATTATCGAGCATATATTGATATTGTGAGTTAAAGTTCACCACATTAATGAAATTGACAGTGAATAATTTTTGCCAGTTGATGAGATTATTTCCCATTCCAGACAATTGAATAAAATTATCGTTTTGAAAAAAAACTAGTGGCGCATGGCATTGTGCCTTAAGGCAATTAGCTGAAACTTCCCTACCATAATTAAAAATTTGAGGAATAAAAATAATCAATAATTGTTTTGAATAATTTCAAATAGATTATTTATTATAAAGACATTTTGTAAGTAATCTTTTTTTTTAATTTCGGTATTTTTCAAATTTTTTGAAATTTAGATTTTATTTCCAGATTATGAAAAATTTCAAAAATGTTAGTTTTTTGAAAATTTTCAAAACTACGAAATTTTTTGTAAAACCATTTTTTGCACACCATCTACACAAGCAATAGGTTTTTTGAATTAATCTAATCGGATGATCCGTTCTTTCAAAAGCAGCATGAACATTTTTACACCCTTTGCGCTCCATATCTCCGGAAGGATAAGATGTACCTTTTGCAAAAATGCCTTGCGTACGAACCGAATGTTTTTTCAATGATACAAATCGGGTATTCCATACTATCGAAAATGTCGAGGATATTTGTTTGAACCATATAAATGAACTTCAAAATTAAAAATCTTGGTACGAAACCCAAAAAAATTTACTTTAATTTGTTTAATGAATATTTGTGACCACCAAATAGCATTTTTTTAACTTATTTTATTGAGAGTCCATAACCGCTAGACCGCCCTTCCCAAAAATTTAATCATCAGTTCATCTTGACAATACAAGTAAAATGTTTTTTGAATTATTAAAATCGGACGCTCCGTTATTTTAAAAGCGATCTCTATCCTCTTCTTTTATCTATTAAGCTAGTACCGTTTCTGCCACTTTTTGCCCCGTATCTTCGGAACGGCTAGACCTGCCTTCGCCAAAAACTAATCAGCAGGTCTCTTTATCAATACGAATGGAATGTTTTTTCAATTATTTAAATCGGTTGATCGGTCTTCCCAAAATCGTCGACGAAAATTTGTATCCGCACACACACACACACACATATCCAGATTTTTCATTCCTAGACAATATACTAATATGCTTAGATAAAAGAAGAGTAATATGCATAGATAAATAAGTATAAATGTTTGTATGTTTTATACTAATATGTTTATACTTGTTTATACTCTTCCTTTATCTATGTGTATAACCAAAATGTGTACTTATCTATGTGCATGTATTTGTGTATAACTATTTTAGTATGTCTGTTTGTCAACTGTCATCTGTCAGCCTGTCATTATGTCAGTGTTTTGTTTTGTCAGTCGAGGTTATGTAAAATCAAAATCTCTGGGCCGTGCAATATTTCTTTTTGTAGATCAGGTTCGTAAAACAAATTAATTAGAAAATGATTATATATAAAAAACATTGGACTCTAAAATTCAGAAGTATAATAAGTTTTATTCGATAATATTTTTACCACTAAAAGTTCTAATCGTAAATTGTTGTTCGAAAAAGAATATATATATATATATATATATATATATATATATATATATATATACGATTTCGAAAAATATATTGCACTACATATCATTCTCTTTAAAGATTTTTAGATGTTCAATAAAGTTATCTGAGAGACATTATTTTATGAGTTCTTTTATTAAATGAAAGACCAACATTTTTGTTACTTATATTATTCTATTTTAGTTGAAAACTAATTTTTTGAAGTATTAGCAATGTCCATGATAGCTGCGAGAAATTGTAGAACAAGCATATTTTTTCAAAATGTCCCCATTGTTTTTCGAATGTTATGTGCAACAAAGACACCAGAATTTGAATCATTGGAAGTAGATGACTCTAAAATGCCTCCAATCCCTCAGTATAATATTAAAAGGGATGAATCTTTGAACCAGAAAAAGGCCAGGCTTTTATATCAATCACGCAAACGTGGAATGTTAGAAAACTGCTTATTGCTAAGCACATTTGCAGCTAAATATTTGAATGGCATGACAATAGAAGAAACAGAAGAGTATGATAAGCTCATAAATTTACCACTAAATGATTGGGATATTTATTATTGGGCGACTGGACACAAGCCTGTACCAAATGAGTTTGATAATAACATTATGAAATTGCTAAAAGAACATGTTAGCAACAAAGATAAAGAACAACGATTTCGACAACCTGATTTACATGAACATTAATTTTGTTATATTTATTTTAATATAAGTTAGAAATGAATGACATATAATAGATATTGTGTTTGATATTTTAAATTATATAGTTCTTTATTGTTTATGTTCATCTCGAGCATATTAATGTTGAATATTTTTTAATTAAATATTGAATATAGTAAATTATTACACATTGATAAATAAGCTTTTTAATCAGTATTACTATACTGCCCAAATTTAAATTAAAAAAAAAATATAGCATTGAATAGAAACTACAGCTCTGTTTTAAAATCAGTGGGAGCACATGCTTCGTAATATATATATATATATATATATATATATATATACAGTAGAGCCTCGATTATCCGGACTAATTGTTGTCGATGGGCATCCGGATAATCGAAAATCCGGATAATCCAAATTATGAAGCATAATGTTTTGTTTATCAAAAATAACAAATGCATACCTAGATATCAATAAAAATCGATGTTTATTAGAAAATTAACACTTACATATTTACTTAGATTACATTATACATATTATATTAAGAGTTTATTTTTCGGTCTCTTCACCATTTTCCGATTTTCACTACCCTCTTTACAATCTAACTTGCAAGTGTACAACAAAATTGAATCGGCATTCTTTTTAATATCGCTTATAGTGGATGTATCTATATCTACACCATACCTATAAGCTAACTTACGGCCGGTTTCGCCTTTTTCAATGATTCTATAACATTTATTTTATCTTTAAGGGATAACACCACCCTTTAAAAATGTATGTATGCACGTTAAAACAGAGAATGTATTAATGTATATATGCACATCAGAATATGCAAGTTCCGACGCGATTATGTCCGGATAATCGCGAATCCGTATAACCGAGGTCCGGATAATCGAGGTTCTACTGTATATATATATGATGTGTATATATATATATATATATATATATATATATTCGAATATTTGTTTCTTTAGAACATAAACCCTGTTACCATGTTAATTCTAATTAAAAACAAAATAAATTTTTAACATTTAATCACAAGAAACCGCCCGGCCGATCTTTACCAAAAACTAATCAGCATGATCGATGCAATTATGTGCTTAGTTGAATATTTGGTTGTACACTTTCGTATTAGAGGAACTCTATAACACACACTTGTCACTCATATGTAACTTATTACTTAAAGTATTATAAAAGTTCATAAAAAAGATAAATGTTTTAAAAAATGTAAGATTATTTATACATAATTATCGATATCGGATTTTAATCCAAATTTTATAGTTAAGAAAATATATAAATATTTTTGTTCCAAAGCTATAAAAGTCTTTAAAGATTTTTAAGTTAGTTTCTCATGTTATCCCAGAACAACAACATGAATTAAAGATCTAAGATCTCCTATATAGTAAATTGACATTATAAAAAAACATAAAAAACTTTAAACAACTATATTTTTTTTGAAAAACTATTTACGGCAAAGCAAAAATACGTCAGATCTCCAACCAACATCACCAAATGGTACTTTTGACAATTTATAATAAATATTCACTTACAAGACACACTTGTAAGCTCTATGAAATTTAATCAATTCAACGATTCGATATTGGTGTAAACTACAAAAAGCGTTGTTATGCCCAAATTCATATAGATGAAATACAAAAATTATTGCTTTAGAAAAAAAAATGAAGATAATCTATAAATAAAGACGCGTGAGGTCTCGGGGTAGCAAAAATCGAAACAATTCTTAAGTTAAGCATCAGTCTCGTTTGAAATAAAAACGTAAGATTAACGGATCACTTTCGTGGACATAATTTTTAGCACTTTTCTGTTAATTCTTGGCCGATCGTTCTCGAAAATCTAATCAACGCAAGTCGTCATAGAGTTTCATGAAATGGCTTTTAAATTTTTGAAATCGGCCCAGCCATTTTTGAAAAAAGTCGGCTCACATCACACACTTATACTTTTTTCAAATTTCCAAATTCGACCCAGAATGACTAGAAACGTCGAGAAAATTGTGGAAAATATTTTCTAACAAAACATTGCACATTTATTATATAAGGTAACAATAGTACATTACTTTGTAACTCCTGATATACATTGCGCGTATATTACACTTACTTTGTTAACATTTGTTATGTAACATTGTAACTATCGATATATATTGCGCGTATATTACACTTAGATAACATTTGTTATATAACTTTCTAACTCAAAGTTACATTGCGCTTATGTAAATTTTAGTTAACATTTGTTATATAACTTTGTAACTCACAAGTTTCATTACGGCAACATGTATTGTTTACTGGGTAGTTTCGATCCAACATGATTGAAAAACATGACTGAAAATAGTAAAATTTAAACAAATCGACAAACTCTGAGAAACATTTGTTTTTATTATAAAAATAAATAAGTAATTATCGCATATCAAAAACCTACGAGAGATTGAAGCATGCTTAATAAATTTCAATTAGTTCCACAACAAATAATGGTGGTAGGTCCAAATTTTATCATTTGTTACTATTAGCATTTTATGATTTATGTTGAAGTATGCATTATTTTAGTATTATTATGTTCAATTTGTGGCAATTTTCTAGTTTGAATATTAATAATTTATGTGTAGGATGACATTGGTGGGCACGTGCATACTAAGTTTTTGTCTCCATAGATATCATCTATCCTGGCAACAGTTGGCCAAATTTTAGTTTCCGGATTAACAAACGGCTGTAAATAATAAATATATTACTTTCATATCAAATATATGCGCATACACATATCACACACACACACACACACACACACACACATATATATATATATATATATATATATATATAAATTATCCAATCATAAAAATAATTTTAAAGAAAATTTATAGTTAAATTATTAGTTTAAAATTAACAAACCGCTGGAAAAGCTGCCATTTCTCTTGAATATTTTCTTGTCCAATTTTCCATTGTAACCTGTCGTTGTGTGTGTGGAGATAATTTTAATGGGTTGTTTTGTCTATCTAATTTTCCTTCCTCAATTAATGCTATTTCTTTACGAATTAATATGAGTGCTTCGCAAAATCTATCGAGTTCTTCCTTGTCTTCCGACTCTGTGGGTTCAACCATCAAAGTTCCGGTCACAGGGAAAGACATGGTAGGTGCGTGAAATCCTATTCAACGTTTGAATTTATTAATTAATTTTGTTATCAATATCTAATGTTATAATTCATATAAAATAAAAACGATATCTTATTAGATTTAAGTGCTTAGGTTAAAAATACATTTTTCTGAAGCATATTATTACAATAAATATCTAAATGTTCGAAATGTTGTCGAATTTAATATTTATTATCTACTAATAATATATGATAGATGTTATGCTCTTGATCAAATCTTAATTATTAATTGAGCACATTATCACTGTAAATGTTTGGAACAAACGATTTTTTAGTCTAAAAAAGTTGAAACTCTTAGAATATATGAAAAAATATCTCATACCTCAAAGTATTATTTTTTCGTAATTTTGAACTCACCCAAGTTTTTCTCAAAACTCGATTTTTCATACCGAACGCTGATGAATCTCTAACAATTTTCATTCAAATTTGTTTGTTCTAATTTTTTAAAATAAGGTTTTGAAGAAAAGTGTGTAGGAAATTTTTGATATGTTAATTTAATCATTAAAAATTAAGGTTAGTTTATAAGCATTATTTTTTTTATAAGTCCTTTTTCGTAAAAATCAAAATTTTATGCAAATCTAAATTCTACGTGCAAATCCAAATTTTACGTGTCTCGCAGAAGTGGCAGTGGTGCCTTCATTTTTGAATATCTTGTTATAATAATTTTTTATTCCTATTTAAATATACACCAAATGAACTTGCTCTACTATCAGAATTTTATTACTTTTTCTTTCACCAAAAATGCCCAAAACACGTTTTTTGGGCTATTTCAGTGGTGTTACTCCTTAAGGTGCTACTAGTGTAGAAATGTGCAATCACAAGTATTAACAAAAACCCGCTATAAAAGTATCTAGAATATTTTATATATTCTTTGCCATGTCAATTTGATCGAATCGCAATTTGTGCGATTATTGTACATACCGTAGTCCATCAGACGTTTTGCAATATCGACTGCTTCAACATTCGCAGTTTTCTTAATATCCCTCACATCTAATATGAATTCATGTGCGCAAAGGTTGCTTTTATCACCTTTAAATAAAGTTTTATAATATGGTTCGAGCTTTTTGCTCATATAATTTGCGTTAAGTATTGCAACTTGCGTCGCCTTACGAAGTCCATCTGCTCCCATCATCTGAACAATTAATTAAAATATTAATTATTATTTTTTATATTATTTTAACAATAATTTTAATGACTTGAGATTTACCAAAAACTATTTATGAAATTTATTATTTACGAGAAAAAGAAAAAAATATGTAATTAAATTTTAAGTTAGACCATAATATGACATTTTTAGTCCATTAAGAAAAAACGCGGATCAACGGTAAAATAAACAATAGCTGCAGCTCAAAAAATAACAAATCATTAAAGTAAAAATGTCACGGTCTACAACCAAATAACAGTAAAGAAATACATGCATATAATATGCAATAAATAAGTATTAAAATAAAAATGCTTAATTCTGGTAAACATTTGTAAAATGTACCTTTATATAAGCCCAACTGATCGGAAGTATGGAAGAAGATCCATATGGAGCAGCACTTACAACACCAAATGAACTAGCTTTGTTTCCCAAATCTGCCAATGGGTCTATTACAGGATGACTAGGTAAAAATGGTTCTAAATGCTTTTTGCTGTAATAACAAAACGTAATTCATAATATGTTCATAATAATGCATAATAAACATAATAATGTCGCGGAGGAAGTGAGATTTTATTAGATATATATTTTTGCATTTATATATCTATTGCTCTAGATTTATGATAGATAAGATAGATATTTTTATCACGTTTTAGATTTCTGAGACCTTCATGCATCCAATTGAATTTGCAGTTTAAAATCGTATATATACAAATATATTTTACA